CGGTGCTTTGACGGAGTTCAAGAGACCGGGACTTAGTGGATTCGGAAATCCTTGAGGAGGAGCCTCGAGGTACTGGAGTAGGGAGTTCCCGAACCAGTATAAAATCGGTGTGCATTTTATTTACGCTTTTATTTCTGCGTTTTATATATTGCTTCCGCATTTGCCAACACCGTTTTTATTAAACTCCGAAAAGATTTTAAAACGCCTTATTCCGAGGATGAGGGAGAATGGTGACCATGGATGGAAGATGGTCGCCGGACCGCCATAGTGGCGGTCGGCGTAACCCTAGCCGAGGAGAGATCTAGAGGGAGAGAGCATTTTTTTATTTTATATATATATATATATATATATATATATATATATAGAAAGGTTAGTACTGAATAATAAATGAATGTAGTAAAATTATTTTTAAAAAAAAACATAGTCACATGGTGATATTTTCGGAGTATATGGGAATTGAGTATATTATCAACCTTATCATGTCACATGGTGATATTCTTCATTAGCTTTTCGTATTTGTCTTAGCTTCTTCTAATTATTTTGATTTTGTTTATATATTATCATGACATTGCTCACACAAAAAAATTATTACGATTATAAAAAAACTAATAACTTTAGTTTAATATGTTGTAGTTATTCCATGGCCAACATCACTAAAAGAGAATTCGACATTCTTGATTTATCGGGTCAAAGGTACGTGGAATGGAGGGTTTATGCACTAGCTCACCTTAAGGCTAATGACCTCGAAAATACAATTGCTGAAAATAATACATCATCATCTCAGCAAAAGGCAAAAGTCATACTTTTCCTTCGCCCCACCTTCATGAAAGTTTAAAATCTGAATATTTATTGGTGGAAGATCCAAAGGAATTATGGGATAATCTCCAAGAGAGATATGGACATCAAAAAAAGGTCCTACTACCAAGAGCTCAATATGAATGGATCAATTTAAGTTTCCGAGATTTTAAATCTGTTTGTGACTATAGTTTTGCTATTTTCAAAGTCACGTCCACATTAAAATTATGTGGACATAATATCACTGATCATGACATGTTGGAGAAAATTTTTTCCACCATGCATATGTCAAATGTGGTATTATAGCAACAATATAGAGAAAGGGGCTTTAAAAAATATTCTAAGTTAATCTCAGTATTACTTGTTGCTGAGCAGAATAATGAGCTCTTAATGAAAAATCATAACATGAGGCCCACTGGTTGTAGCCCTACAAATTTTGGCCATCCTGATCGTGGTTCAGCACTAGAATCAAATATTATCCAAGGTGGTGCACGGGGACACTTTAAACGTGGACGCGGAAATAGCCGCAACAAAGGGCCAAATAGGGGATATAAACATCCAAATGAATCATCCTCCAAAGTAAAGGGAAAATTCAAACCACCACAGGCTAAAACTCATGAAAAGCCAAAACCAAGTGGTGAATGCTATAAATGTGGCATAAAAGGACATTGGGCTAATGAATGTCGAACGGAAAAACATTTGGTGAAATTATACCAAGCTTCCACAAAAGGATAAGGAAAAAATGTTGAGGCTAATTATGTTGATGATATCAATCCAATTTTGCCTAAATTTGATGTGTCCGATTTCTACATGGATGATGCTGAAATTGGTGATGAAGTGGCCTTTGGTGGAACTACTACTGTTTAAATATTTTTATTCGCCCTGTTATAGTGTATTTACTTTTATAATAAATATTTAAAATCTGTATTTTATTTTTCATATGTACTTGTATTATTATGTATGATTTAAAGCTTAGAATAAAATGTATGATATTTGTGTTAATTAGCTTGAATTTATTTATATATTTATTGGTATTCAAGACATGGAGATAACTGCTTATGGCTCTAGTGGCAATGAACAATGTCTAATAGACAGTGCCACAACGCACACCATTTTGAGAAATAAAGAATATTTTTCTCAAATGACATTGATGGAAACTAATGTCAATACAATATCTGGTGTTGCAAAGCTCATTGAAGGGTCTGGAACTGCTTGTTTAATCCTTCCCCTACGGGACAAAATTAATTATCAAAGACGCATTATATTCCAGCAAATCCTGAAGGAATTTATTGAGCTTTAAAGATATGCGTCAAAATGGTTATCACATTGAAACCATGACAGAAAATCAAAAGGAATACTTGTGTTTGACGACAACCAAATCTGGCATTAAAATTCTTTGTGAAAAGATGCCAACGTATTCCTCGGGGCTATATTATACTCACATTAGTCCCGTTGAAGTGAATGTTGTCTCTAATAAAAAATTAGATGATCAGAAAACATTCATTTTGTGGCATGACCGTTTGGGTCATCCTAGCAATGTAATGATGCATAAAATAATTCAAAATTCACTTGGACATCCATTGAAAAATATAAGGATTCCAAGATCAATTGATTTTCCATATGTTGCCTGCTCTCTTGGAAAGTTGATTGTCAGGCATCTCTAAATAAAATTGGAGTTGAATCTCCTGCATTTTTAGAAAGAATTCAAGGAGATATTTGTGGGCCAATTGCCCCACCATGTGGACAATTTCGTTATTTTATGGTTTTGATTGACGCATCAACACGTTGGTCACATGTTAGTCTTATCTACGAGAAATTTTGCATTTGAAAGCTCAATTTTCGGATTATTCAATAAAGAAAATACGACTTGATAATGCAGGAGAATTTACATCCCAATCATTTAATGACTAT